GTATAAATTATAAAAAGGTAAAATGTGTGAATTTAAAAAAAAATCTTCAAAGTTGCTTTAGAACTTTTCAATTATTTACTTTTCAATTCTTTCACAAATTTTTTTTTTAATTGAGAAATTAATATTTTAGAATTTTTTATTAATTTTTATTATAAATATTATTTTTATATTTATTTATTTAATATTTATAAATATTATTTTTTATTATAAAAAATTAGTTTTTTTATTAATTAAATGAAAATAAATAAATTTTACATATTTTTCAAATTACTCTACATTTTTAAAAAACTTAAAAAAAAAATTACTGTTGTAGAACCAATCGGTTACCGTGTTTTATCCGGTTTAAAATTTACAAAAAGTAAATTTTTTTTTTATTTTTTATATACAATATGAAATTGATATTATTATTCTTTTTCATGCAATTTTATGCCAAATGAAAAAATCTTATGTGTATGATTTATCAATTTATCATGAAACGTAATTTTCAGTTATTCATTCATGGAGTATTGAAATTATTTGAGAACTTTGGAAATATTAAAATAATCAATGAAATATTTATAAATTTGACAACATTTTAATTAGTTACAAATAAAAGATATCACCATGGAACAATCACATGTTTCGCATTGTCGAAACTAGTATTAAAAGTCTTCGATAGCAAGCGCATGGCGGCAGAACTGTTCCTTTCTAGATACTTGACTTTGAAGTGTCAAGTTCCGAAAAGAGTAGAATTTTGGTACTCTATTAATGAGTTTATCTGTTTTTGAAGAAAGTTGTAAAGACAGCTAAAATAAATGTTGTATCAACTTTATTATAAATGTAAATATATTCATCAATTTTATTTAGGCTTCAGGTTTGTCAACATCTTGACATGGCCATATCAACCCTGATAAAGTCTGATATTTCCAATGTTTATATTAAGTCTGATCAGAATATTTTTTCACGAGATATAGTTAGATATGATTAGATCTGGACATTTTTTGGATCTGATCATGTATGATTATACATGATCATATTATATATAAAAAACATGTCTGTTCATATATAAACAGATCAAGTTATGTATGATCAGACCTGGCCAATTTTTGGATCTGATCATATATAGACGATTATGCATGATTATATATGATTAGACAAAATCTTTTTTCATCGGGGGGTACAAATTTATGGGACATGCTTATTTCTCTGGTTGTAAGTTTAAACATAAAAAAACTTATTGATACCAGAATGTATAAAAATATTTAAGTTGTAATTCGGAGGCACCAATAGTTGTCAGAAGCCGCGAAGCCAATGATTTTATTAGATATCGATAATTGTTAATTTTCACGGAGAAATGAATGTAAAATATTTAAATAAATGTTAAAATGGACTCGTCCAACTGTCCGTTTGTTATATATGTTATTTTACTACAGTAACTCAATTAATAATTTTGATATTTAATGAAATTATTAATTTGTTTTCTAGATTTGGAGTTTAAATACGCGATAAAAAAATCAAAACGTCATAAAGGGTTGAAATTATTGAAAGTTATAGGTATTGAAAAGAATTTTATCTTATTTTAGTAAGTGGAGAATTTTTTATAAAAACTTAATAACTAAACATTTTCCTAAGTGCATTTGTTATAAATAAGGATGTTGTTAGTGAGAAATTCAAAATTGAAAACTAACAGTTGTTAAGATATTAATATAAAGTAATTATATTTATTTGAAGTATTACGCATAAAAAAATTTGTAATAATAAATTAGAGGTATAAATGCATTGATGTTACTTGATAACAAAAAAAATCACAATAGAAATAATTTTGGCAGTAAGTTATTGTTGGTGAAGATTGTAATTTTGATGAGCAATTTTTTTCAAAGCTTCTGTCATCATTTCGCCAGTTTCTCTGACCATGTTCGACAAATTTCCATTTTCTTTTTGAAACAAAATGTGTGGATGATCGAATTCCTGAAAACAGAATATATGAAAAGTTACAACCGATACATTGAATTTAATGATTAATATGAAATGAAAAAGTTACACATGAATCATTTGAGAGAAAATTTTATTTACCACAACTGAGCCAGCATCCATTACTAATATTCTGTCACTGTCCATGACAGTATTGAGTCGATGAGCTATTGTAAGTACTGTGCAATCGGCAAATTTGCGTCTAATAGCTTTCTGAATAAACTCATCTGTTCGTGGATCAACATTGGCTGTCGCTTCATCGAGTACAAGAATTTTATTATTTCTCACAATAGCACGAGCAAGACATACCAATTGCCGTTGTCCGACACTTAAATTGGAACCTCCTTCATTTATATGTTCGTCAAGAGTCATGTCTTTTAGCTCAACGTCTTCAAGTGCTGACCAAAGTATATGGTCAGAATACTGTTCGAAAGGATCAAGATTTTTTCTCAATGAGCCTGAGAACAAGAAAGGTTCCTGGGGAATTATACTTATTTTGGAGCGGAGATCATGAAGTCCAATTTCACCGGTATCTACGCTATCGATCTCAATATTTCCCTCAGTATTAGCAAGACGGAATAAAGCTGATATCAAAGAGGATTTTCCAGCTCCGGTGCGTCCGACAACTCCTATCTTTTCTCGCGGCTCAATGGTGAAGTTGAGATTTTTAAGTACTGGTGGTTCTAGCGGCGAATAAGACAAGTAAACTTTTTTGAATTCAATTTTCCCTCTGGTTGGCCAGTCATCTTTAGGTTTTTTACTCGGTAAACTCTCAAGAGCAGGTTCGCTCTCAATATTTGTGTACTCAAGTACACGTTCCACTGAAGTCATTTGATTTTCTACTTCAGCGCTCTGTCTCATTCCCCACTGAAACATTCCAGTTAATCCGATACTTTGTGTTATCGCTAGACCGACATCACCGCCCTTATACGTGTTATTATCATCGTCAGAAAGTATTAAGAAGCTCATTGTTACACATGTAACATAAAGAAGACAAAATATATCTAGCCAAAAACCAAAGGATCGTGATGAAGCAATAAAAATGTACCAAGCAGATGAATGAAGATCT